TCCTCGGGCCTTCCTCTTCCTCCGCCGCATCGTTCAGTTGACGAGCTTGGGATCCATCTTGCCTTTGGTTCCCCACCATTTCTACTACAACGACAGGTTCAACTTCCACTTCTTCAAGTTCTTCTCCACTAACACCGGGACCCAAATGTCGTTCCCTTCTTTCACTCATTCTCCTTGCCTCTGCTAACTCTCTCTCTACCTTGCAAGGAGCCGGAGGGTTTGATTTATGTCCTCATCAAGTGGTAGAAAAGGTGTTGGGTTACTCCGGGTCATGCACCACCTACACACAAAAGCTAGATTAACACCAAACAACTTTTTCAAGATAACAGACCGTTGTCCCCGGCAACGATGCCAAAAACTTGACTCGTTCCGAATACCACAATAATTTCCCGCCTAAGGTCCAAGTATAAACCTTAGTCGGGTGCAGTACAGTATAAGTATGTTTAAATATCAACCCGGGCCGGTCCGTCTACCCTTACTTCAGTCACTTGAATCATTATCTAGCAATAAAGTTTTGGTAGAAAAGTTTGCTAATTAAAGTAAAACAAGACAAATGTGAATGGTTTTGAAAGCTCTTTTGTGGAAGGATCACTCGGGTGTCGCTTCCCCCTAACTACTACCATGGTATGTGAACCGAAATGATTGTTATGGGCAAGATGATCGCTAACCGCTAGGGGACGCAAATATGGTTGTAGACCACGCTCATGATTGCTAAACCGAGGCATACATTATAGGCTGTCACTAGGCCCTCTCGGTTTAGGCAATCAATGGTTGACTTACTCCCTCACTCAACCCAGGGTTGGACGGCTTAATCACGCTTTACCAAATTGCTTAATCCAATATTGAGGTTTGCTCTAAATTAACCTAGTTAGAAGACTTAAAAAGCCCTAGGGATACCAACTCAATTGAGACTCCCTTGGAAGGGGGGTTTCCCTCTCTAGACTAGGTTAAGTGGCTAATTAGATTGCTAAGCATAGACATACACAATCCTTAGGTTGCTAAGCACCAATCATGCACAAACCTAAGGATGCTAAGCACAAACATGCACAATCAAGATGAATAATACCTCAAACATTTGTATTAAGCAATACCCAATGACAATCATTCAATTCACATAAAAGAAAACTACATGGTAGAGTTAGGGTTTCACAACTGATAGACGATTGATTGCACATGTTTTTACCCCTATTCTTGAGCCGTTTGAGAAGTTGATTCTCGTGTTTTAAGCTGATTTTACGCTAGGTTGTGTGTTTATGTCATATTTCAGGGCTTGGCGTTGGCATCGAGGCGAAGAAATGAGTTTCGGGTCGAAAGGAGCACGTTTGAGTTGAAGTGTGCTGGAGGAGCAAAATGCACGGCCATGAGCAAAAAATACCCGGTCGGGTATTATTCTGAGCAGACCGGGGAAAATCTCTTTTGGGCGTTTGAGAAGCATAAGGGGGCCCGAGCATTGAGCATAAATCCCCAGTCGGGTATTCTTGACCTTTTGACCAGGGATTAACCCCCTATCCTCGACGGTGCGTTTCAACAATCCCCGGTCGCCACCTAAAATACCCGACCGGGTATTCTGACCGGGGATCGCGATTGACAGCTTCTTAAGGGAAAAGAAGGGCAAAGTTGAAGGGTTCCGAGTTTTAGGGAGACAAAGCGTATATCTAGAGAGAGAAAGTGACGAACCTGATTCTTCAAGCGCCTTAGATGGATCTTCATCACCATTGGAGCCCGACTTGAGCTTGGAGAAGTGCTGATTGATTGCCAGAAGAAGAATCTCATCCTTCATAGTATGGTTTCCGCATCTAAGCTAGATTTCCCATCTCTCTCTATGGAGTAACTTTCTTATTCACCTGGGTATGAAGAACCCTAGATTTGTATGTTAGGTCTGATTGTATGAACCCAAGTACGAATTCAGTGATATGATTATATTCAATTGAGGTTTGATTTCTTGAATGACATGAATCCTGATCAAATTCCTGTTATTTCTGCTTTGACCTAGAAAGAGAATATCTGCCTAGGTTGATAGAGCACCCTTGATTGAAGGTAGTGAATTGGCGACTTTAGTTGAGGAGTCAATTCACTATTCGGTAGAGGAGGTTTGGTTCGTTAGGGCCTCAATCTGTTTACTCCGGTGGAGGTTAGTCGCCCGCTGGGGACTCAGATTGAGAGGGTCTGAAGACCTTTAGTCGAGACTGCAGACTGTTTAAGAACCTCCCGCAGTATAACTATCATTGAAATTGAACTTGGTAAATTACAATCTGGCTTAACTACAGTCTAGGGGGAACCATATCCGGGTGACCTCTCTCAACTTGAAAACAACCTTTTACTGCTTTACTTGTTTGCTTGTTTGGACCTTCACTACACTTTCACTGCTAAATAATAAGAATTCACGGAGTAGTCATCACACTTAGGACCTGGGTTGACATTAAAACCCAAACCCGCTATACTACGCTCTAGTAGGTGGTTACACTTGGCCATTTTCTATAGTGACGGTAGAAGCGAGTCAACAACACCAAAGTGAAAAGAATTCTACTCCATGCTAGAAATGGGAGAAACACAAGGAGAAGGGGTAGAAACCATATTGGAGGAGGCTTCCAATCTTCTTGGCCCTTGTGTTGAACTTTCCCTGGAGAAAATCTTCCCAAAATCCACCTTGGAGCAAAACCCTAGCCTCCTTCTTCTTTGGTTCGTGTTTCTCTCTCTAGAAATCAGAAGAATCCTTTCTCACTTAAGTGGGCTCTCCCCTCTCTCTTCCTTTCATATCAGCTATTAAACAGGGAACGAGTTGTGTTCACGGCTCCAGTTCACGGCCGTGAACATTGAAACGCGTCTGTGAACTCCAATTGGGCGCCGAAACGCATCGCTTTGCTTGCTTGTGTTCACGGTCCACAGCTCATGTTCACGGTCTTAGCGACCGTGAACGCAATTGGCGTCAGTAACTTGCATTTTGGCTCTTGACGCCTCAAAGTTCACGACCAATGGCTCTTCTTCACGGTCATACAAGACCGTAAACAACCAAGGAAACCATGAACTCGCCGTTTTTCACCTCTTCTCCTGGTTTTTGATCCTTTTCGACTATGAGGCTGGTTTCACCTGTTAAATCCCGAAACACACTAAAACACGAGAAACCTAGCGTAAAACCAACCTATTAGGAGTGGATTTTCCATAAACGACTGAGGAAAACGGGAACAAAACATGTACAATTAGACCTGAATCATAATTTTAGGTGAAATGTTTTGGTTCTCCTTCCTTTCGTGCAATTTTTGGTCCTTTGTCTTCTCTTGTTCTTTCCCAGTTGCTTGATTCTCCTTGTTCTTCCCTTTCTTCTCATTACGACTCTCCTCCCTTGTTCTAGCTTGAGCACTCCTTGGTGTTTCAAATGTCTCTTTGTCTGTGTCCTTGGTCTGACTTGGTTCAGCTTCCTCATTAGTTGTTATATCTCCATCTTTAGTTTCCTCTTCCAATTGTTGTGCTTTTCTTTCCTTTGGTTTTGTCCTGCTCCTTTGGGTGATGCTTCCTAGCCTCGAGGTCTCTGTTGTTTTTTTAATCCTTTTGGTTCTTGACGTCAGCATCCATGGCCCATAGTCTTCCATAGTTTCTAGTCTGACCTCTTTTTGTGATCTTCGGTTATTGCCTGTCTTCAGTCGTTCTTCAGGTGTCACTGGGGCACCATCAGTTTTCAAAGGACATTCATCCTCCAGATGTCCATAGTAACCACAATCAAAACAAACAGTGAGTGTGAAGCCCTTCGACCTCAATTCTTCTGAACCGTCGTTTGATTCTATATTTCGAAACCAGTCTCTTCCATAAGTCCACTTCCACACAGATGCGAGCGTAGTTCCTATGAATCCATTTGTTGTGTTGTAGTTAATTTTCTCAACTCTCCCCAATTTGTTTCCTATATCAGTGAGAAACTCTTCATCAAAATAGACCAAAGGGAGGCGGTGCAACCTGATCCAGAATGAGGTCTTGTTGATAAAGTCAAAATCTGGATCAAAATCCATCCTCCATGCCTCCGAAAGAATGTAGTGATTGCCGATGGTCCACGGTCCGCCGTAGAGTGCTCGATCATGATCAAGCTGGGTATCGAAAATAGCTTGGCAATATCCATTCCCGATGTCCCCCAACCTTCACCTGACCAGTCTTTGCCGCCCACATTTTCTGAATTCTACTTTGAGTGTAGGCAAAGGGGAAATTCTTACCCAGAACTCTGAAAGTGATTGCCCTGTTCCAGTGCCTCTGTATTCTCGAGTTAGTGCGTTTCTTGATCAGGATCATCTTCCCCATCCTCCTTCTCTGATTCGGCGGACATCAGGTCGTCCCCTTATGGATCCTCAGCCTGTATCTGGTTACCAAGCACTGAATCTCTGTAGGAAGATCTATTTGGCTCCTGCCCCTCAATCATTTGGTCTTGGGTGTCTTCCTCGCTTGAAATCTTCCTCTCCTCTCCTAGGTCATCATTTTGAATCGTTGTCATCACAATAGTAAAATCCATTTCCCCTTGATTAGATAATCCCTCACTGGTCCATACTTTGGCTTTCTTGCTCTGTTGTATTGACGAGGTTGCCGGAGAGCCATCAAGTGGCTTGAGGCAGTGGTCAAACTACATTTCCCATGGATGGGCACCAACGGTCATCGCACAAGGGAAAGAGAGAGGTCAGAGTTTTTTCTCTCTCTAACCAACGACTCTCTATCGTTATTCGTTCCTTCCAGCGTTTTCTCTCTATTATGTTTAGTTTAACTAGCAGGCTTTGTTGCTACATACTTTTTGATGAATAAGAATCCACTGAATTAAAAAAAAATCTAGTTACTCCCTTGGGTGTTAGTGTTACAATCTCTGTTAAAAATATAATTTTCTCCCATCTAGGGTAGAATTTTTACTATTAGAGGAGTTTTTTCCAATTTTATATGGCATGAAAAGTTGAAAACAATTTGTGGCCCATGTGTTCTAGCATTAGCCCAAATCTAAAACTATCTGGCCCAAATATGTTAAGATTAAGGCTTCGAGTTGGGCTGAGACTGTAAGTTCAAACGCAAAATGGACCAGCCCACAGGCTTTTAAGTCCAATATGCTTCCTCTCCAACCCAATGAATACACACTGTAGAGTAGGCTTGGCCAATTAGGGTTTTTGAGGTTTCCCTTCCCTTATATTCCTCCTCGCCCCATTTTTGACAGAGCGGCGATCTTTTCAGTGCGAGAAAGAGGACGACGGTGAAGGGAAAGCTCGGACACAGGGAACTTCTCGTCATCAGAGCCCGCAACCATGGTGCACGTCGCATTCTACCGCAACTGTAATCTTCTTCTTCTTCTTCCTTCCCTCATGTTATTATGTCTGTAGTTTCGCTAGGGATTGTCTGCGGGATTTCGGACTGAACTTCAGAGTACTCGTTAGAGAACTGTAACCCTGATCTACTTGATACGTTTATCTGTTACGTGTGATCTGAAGATTTCTTCACTGTACAATTCTTATCTGATGGCGTCTTTGTTCGCACTTCTTGATTGCTGAGATTTGAGGCAGATTTGCTACTCTTCAATTTACTTTCGATTTTCTTACCTGTGTTCTGAAAGGATATGTTGGGATATTTGTAGATGGGAAGACTTTCAAGAAGCCTCGTCGTCCCTATGAGAAGGAACGTTTGGATGCTGAGCTGAAGCTCGTGGGAGAGTACGGTCTGCGAGCCAAGAGGGAGCTGTGGAGGGTCCAGTATGCACTGAGCCGCATCCGTAATGCTGCTAGAATGCTTCTGACTCTGGATGAGAAGAACCCACGTAGGATCTTTGAGGGTGAGGCCCTTCTCCGAAGGATGAACCGCTATGGACTCTTGGATGAGAGTCAGAACAAGCTCGATTATGTCTTGGCCTTGACTGTTGAGAACTTCCTTGAGCGCCGGCTGCAGACTATTGTTTTCAAGGCTGGGATGGCTAAGTCTATCCACCATGCTCGTGTTCTCATCAGGCAGAAACATATCAGGTAAATAAAAAGGGTATTTAGCCCTCGTGGAAGTGGTTTTTTCAAATTTTCGGGCACACTGAATTGATTGAGAAACCTGCTAGCCTAAATGGGGTGGTACTTTAATGGTTAGATTATGCTTCATGGTTTTCTATGAAAATGGTTATGGTTTGATTACTTGGAGATTTTGCCAATTCGATTCATTTTGCTTTCATTTGTGGCCTTCCAAATGGAAGAATTACTAAATTCCTTCAGCATATATTACTTAGACTCAGTTCCATCATAAGATCTGCATATCCAAACATCCCGTTGTGTTTCAGAGAGGGTTTATAGGTTGTTCTACATTCAAGTTATACCCATTTAAGGTGGAGTAAATAATTCAGTGTCTCAAGAAACTGCTGTGGTTTGTTTTCACTATTGCTCTTTCCTTAGAATTAATGATATATGCTGCTGATCTCATAACAATTAATAAGGCGTACTTTGTTGGAGTCTGTTTATTGTTTTCTACTGCTGTAAGTTTACACCCTTGTTCTGATTAAGGGTTTATCTTCGTTCGTGCATCGTTTTCTACATTTCACCCTTGTTCCAACACTCGTGTATCTTCTTGTATTGCAGGGTTGGAAGGCAGGTTGTGAACGTGCCATCTTTCATGGTCAGGATTGATTCGGCTAAGCATGTTGATTTCGCTTTGACTAGTCCATTTGGTAATGCTGGCGTGAATGGAAGGGTGAAGAGGAAGAACATGAAAGCAGCAGCGTCCAAGAAGGGTGGTGGTGGTGGTGGTAGCGATGATGAAGGAGATGCTCAGGATTAAAGCAGTTAGGTCGCGCCCGACATCGTATCTTGCTATATCTACAATTGGCCCTTAATCTAAACAACTAGTTTTGCCTGCTGTGTTGAAGCATCATTTCCAATGTTGTCGTTTCTTTTGATTAGAGATCTTCTGTGGGAACACTCTTACTAGTCTTGCTTCTTCGTTTAGTTATTATAAGCACTAAGCAGATGTTTTGCCTTGTTTGTTAAGGAATGTTCTCAATATTTTTTTACTGTTTGTCTATTCACTTTGTTTGAAGTTGTGTTTGTGAAGTTATGGTCTGTCTTTTATCTGGTTCGATCCGGTTAGTGTTTTAAGATATGATGTGTCGATAAGATATCACAAACACTGTCGCGGATATAAATTCGTAGGTGTTAGGGTCAGAGGTAACAGTAAAGACTGAACTAACTTCAAATAATGGCGGTCCCAGCTAATACGCAAAACCGCGTTACTAAATTGAGCTGACCAATCCCTGTACAAATTAGGTCAGCAATCCTGGAGCAGCAGCAGCAAGAAGAAGAAGGTAAGAGAAGCTCCTTCGCAAAAACCCTCCACTGCCATCGCCGCGCTGTAGAAATGGAATCAATCAACTTCGCCAAGGGCTACGACAAAGTGAGAAGCTCCAGCTCCGTTCATCTAGAAGTCGAGGATCAAGGTCGCCATCCACAAGCCACCAAACCAATCAAAAAATCCCGAATCGCGGTCGCCTCCGCCGCCGTCTTCCTCACCGCCGCCCTCGCCCTCATGCTCTTTGCTCTGATTCACCACACCAACACCGAACATCCGTCGCCGCCGGAGGATCACCCCGTCGCTGCAGCGACGACGCTCGATTCAATCAGAGCCGTCTGCAACGTGACCCAGCACCCGGACTCCTGCCTCGCGGCCATATCTGCCGCCGTAGGCGGCAATCCGAAGCCGGTGACCGACCCGGAGGAGATCCTCAAGGTCTCGATCCAAGTCTCCCTGAAGAGGTTCGCGGATCTGGCTTCCCTGTTCCGCAATTCGTCAGGCGGCGAGTGGGGATCGAAGGCCGCGGTGGATGACTGCGTGGATCAATTGGGGGAAGGGGTCAGCAACCTGAACCAGTCGCTGGCGGCTATGGAGGTTGAAGCTAGTACGGAGGGGAAGATGTTGACGCCGGCGAAGATCGACGACTTGAAGACGTGGATTAGTGCGGCGATGACCGACGAGGAGACTTGTGGGGACGGGTTGGAGGAAATGGGGGCCAAGGTTCCGGAAGGGGTGAAGGCGGAGATGGAGGATTGCAAGCAATTGTTGAGTAACAGCTTGGCGATTCTTGCCAATATGCCAAGCCTACTCCGCCATTTCCATCTCCAAATGCATTAACGAATACGCATCAAGGGGGTGAAGCTGTTGGTTGTATTACTATTAAGCACAAACCCACTTACATATGTTCTTTTTCTCCAAGTTTAGTATAATCTTGTGATGTATACTTCTTTTTCCTCGAAGACTGTGATGTCTATTCTTATGCTCATCGTAATGGTTGAATCATGCAGCAACAAGATAATTGTGTCATTCCGTAGATCATTTTCACCAAGTTACAATGACTAAAAAATCATCTTAAGCAATATCCCAACTTTTATTCTACATTTCTACTCATAAACTAAGTGCATAAGATGAACTTCATACATACAAATATTGTGAGCTCTATACAATAATGGACAATTAACAAAGGGCTCAAGTTGACTCAAACTAATATTATCACCACATTTAGAAACATAGTCGGAGAAAAAAAAAATTATTCTTAGTAAAGTTTCAAATCTGAACAACATCGTTAAGGCTGTGCCAAATGTCAAAGAAGAAGAGTTAGGAGTAGGGTTGACTATTCAACCCGAACCCATAGGTATTAAGTCGGCTAAATGGTAAAGCTGGTAAAATCCAATGTTGACGGATTTAAGATCGAGCGCGGATTTTATCCGCTTTTGAAATTGACGAATTGAGTTGGGTTTGGGTTTTGCCAAAAATCAGCTTGCTTTCCACCCAACCCGCTAATTGTTCCTATTACCGCATACCTTCTTAAGCATTAGTACTAGCGAGGCTCAAGCCTTTATTTTCCAAATTTGAGGTTGAGGCTGGAGATGACATGTTCCAAGGTTGCTGGCTTATCTTGTTCGATAAATATCACATACATGCCATTGATTATGAGACTTCATACTCTTTCACTTATTATACTAGATATTCCTGGTGTTTGTGTAAGTAGCTTGAAACTTACTTGAAACAAGTTTTTTTTTTATCCATAACAACTCTTTGTGCTTACTGTCACAACTCATCTCTTTTTCAATGATTATTTACTCGATAATTTCTTCAAACTCTACGTTACTTGCTCCTAATGATTCGAGAACAAAGTGGATATGTTCTGAGCGACTATCATGTTATGCCATAACCACAACTCTATCCATAAACAAAGAAAATTCAAATGGATCTTGTCTAGTTCATGTTCTATCTTACGAAGAAAAAGTGATACAATATCATTTCTTTCTTAAACTAGTTTAGCGAACCATCTGAGAATACAGGAAATCGGCCAATGACTATTTGGACTATGAATTGGTCCTATGGGAGATCCCCTGCTTCTGTTTAGTTCCAAATTCTCAAAAACCCTAAAAAAAGATGCTACCAAACTTAATTCATAATTAAGCAAGGATGTGTACACATATACACAGCAGCCAAATATAGAATTCCCAACGTGTCCATATACTTTGAATCGGCCTGTCCTTCTATGTGATTATGGTGAGTAGAAAACTAAGTTAGAGGTTGGTGGTCGGCTGTAGGGGTTAATGAGATCCCGTACAGGACAAAACTGCAGAGTAAGTACATATTAATACATGTTTAATTATATTAATACAATGTTGCAAGCTTAATTAGCTCCACTCTACTACATTAACCCTTGACCAGATAACGACAAGATGGCTACTCATATTGTACAGCTACATAGCCCAAATGAAAAAGGGTTTGGTGGTGGGAGAAGAAGTGAAGTAGAGAGAATAGGACAAAACCGAATCATTAAGATAATCCGATTTTAATTAACTTAATCAAAACCAGATTAAGCTGATCATATTTGCAGTAAACTTCTGATGGAGTCCAAGTCGAAATCCTGGTTGTTGGGATCAATGGTGCCCAGCAACTGAGACAGCCTTCCACTCAGATCATCCACCTCTTTCTCCAGCTTCCTGATGTAGCTGCATGTCTCCTTCAACACCTTCGATGCCTGTGCCTGCATCAACAACAAGTAATTAGTGCGTTAATAAAGTGTGGTTAATCATGTCTCTGTTGTGTGATTATATGGTTAAGTAAGTAAATAAGTAAGTACCCTCGAGGTCTGCTGCCTTGGATTAAGGTGAGGCAGGAGGGCTTGTAGTTTCAAGACGAGGTCAGTGATAATCTCATCTTCAGACATTGTTGAAGAAGAAGCTCTTGATGCTGATCTCCTGCTAGACATTGTGATGATGCTCCAGAAGAGCTAGTAACAGAGACAAGGATGGACGTTTTTTAGAAGGACGAATTGATGCTATTCAAGGGTTTTATGGACCGGAAGTTGCCTTAAGAAACTGAAAAGGCTGGTTGAGTGGGAAGTTTGAATGGAAGGCAGAGCTTCAGCTTAAATAGAGGTCACGAAGAGGTGGAAACAGGGGAGAGGTAGGTTTTAGTTGGAGAAAATTACATTACCCTTTTTTTCTTTTCTATGAGGCATTTCTCAACAAACAACGACAGGAGAAGAAAAAGAAATGCAGGGAGGGGCAGGGTCCCAGTTTTGTCTCTCAATACGTATATAATGGGACCTGCATGCAATTATTAAGTGCGGGGAGGGAGGAGAATTAAATTGGGAAAGCACCCATTCCTTTGCAAAATGACAATCTCAAATTTGTCAGCTGTGCCTGGTCCTTAATCTAGTAGGAGATTAATCAAACATGTTTCACCTTATGGGGGCACGTGTCATGTCCCCTCTTTCATAGGACATCATCGCAGAGAGGGTAAACCCGGACAATCAGAGCAGTCGGTCTCGTTCAGGCGTAATTGATTCAAGCACGAGAAGTCGGTTACTGATAAGAGTACTTATAGGGCCATGTTGACTTAAGGTGCTTCAGACTAGGGTGTTTTGGAAGAAAGCCATCAACTTTGGATCTAGTCGGGATCTTCGTTTATCAATTCGATTAAGGGGCAAAAGCTTATTTGTCTTCATTGTATGATTTGACAGGGTTCGATTTCAGTCGTTAGATGGTGTATTTAGCATCTAGCAGCTCAAATTCCAGTCAGACATCACTAATTTAATTCAAGCATGAGAAGTCGATGACCAATAGAAATCTGATGAAGTTGTTGACCTAAGTAGCTTCAGAGGTTGTCTTGGACAAAAGCCATAAAATTTGAATCCAACTAGGGTCTTCTTTCTCGCGATTCGATAAGGGGAAAAAGCGCATTTGTCCCCATTGTATGACATGGCAAGGGTGCAATTACAACCATCGAATTGTGTAGTTAGCATCTAGCAGCTCAAATCTCACACATACATCACTAAGTCAACCACGAGAAATCACTAACGGTTAGAGTTCTTAGGACCTCTTTGACTTCCTTCACTAGTTTCAAAGGCGTCTTGGAAGGAAGCCACCAAAATCGAGTTTAGCTAGGGTCTTCTAGCAATTCAGTCAAAGGGTATAAGCTCGTCGTCCATTTCCCACCATATGATGTGGTCAAGGGTGCAATCATAGTTAACAGATTCTGTAATTAACATCCAATAGTCGAGATCCTACACATACATATACGAAAAGTCGGTGACCGATAGAGTCCTTACATGTCCATGTTGGCTAAAGTTGCTTCAAACTAAGGATGTTTTTGGAAGGAAGCCTTCAAATTTGAATCTAGGTTAGGGTCCTGTTTTAGCCGGGAGCAAAAGCTCATCCGTCTCCGTTGCAAGATCTGGGCAGGGGCGTAATCTCAATCGTTGGATGGTGCATTCAATATCCAATAGTTGAGATCCCACCGAGACATATCACCGATTCAAAAGTGCGAGAAATCGCGGTAACCCCTGGAGTCCTTAAACTTTAGTTGCTACAGAGGTGTTTAGGAAGGTTCCTCACAACTACTAATTGAGACATTTGAGTTATTTATCAATTCCAACACCTTAAATGGTATGGTACCGTATTGCTGCTAAATGTTGGATGTCTACAGCCTACCCAGAGGATGATGCCTTTGCCTCTCCTCTCACGGGAAAAACGATCGAGATGTGGAGGGGCTGCCCTTATGCAGCCTTTTCTCTTATGTTTTGTTTGTTTTTGGCTACCTTCTTTGTCTTTGTCGACTGCTCTTATCATTGTGTGTATACTTTGTGTGTGACAAACTCCTGAGTTTGGGTTTAGCCATAATTTGTGTAATGAATATAGAAGAGATTAGGGTGCCCCATTTATATGTATGGTTGAGCCATCATAATCCAAACCCCTAATTAGATTGAGAATCTTGCAGTCGTTTTTTAGGGTGAGGGGAACACCACAAAAGCACACCCAGAAAATGGCTTGATCACCCACATTCAGTGTTTCTTGATTGGTTAGATTATGATAAAATAATGATACTACTACCAGTTACAATTAAGTCATTTTCTTTTCTATTCTGTTTAAGCAACATATCATCAATTTTGTCATATGTGTGGATTATGATGTAATGTGTTTTAGGTTTAAACGTCACTTTAATGATTCACAATACTAGCAAAACGGAAAGCAATCTATCTATTCAACAGTTGTGAAGTAGCTCTGGAGTTAAAACTTAAAAGTAGTGTTGTTAATTCTTTCCTGAGATTATATGCACGTAGACATAACGAATTCTTCATATTATCAAGAAAGAAAGACACCATCCTAGTTGATGGACGAAAGCATCAATTTATATAAGAAAAATTTGGTACTCTTACTGTAATGAATTTTCTTTTGTTGGTGGAATAAGATTTAAATAGATGTGTCATACATAAAAAGGATTTTTATTCCTTAAAAGTGAAGACAATGTATTAAAAGCCACTTATGATTGGAGCAACCAATCGTGTTTGGCAATTTAAAAAGAAAATTAAATTAACTAATTGTTTTTGGCTTTCTCATTAGGTGGTAATTTAAAAAATTAATAATGAAGGTATAATTTGGGGTTAATTGCATGGTTAGTCACTAAGTTTATAAAAAACGTTCTTGTTTGGTCACTCAAAATATTTAAATCCATTAGTGAGCACTCGAATTAGTAAAACGGTCCACGTTTAGTCACTCTCCGTTAGTCTCCGTCAATTCTTATTAACACCGTTAGTCAATTGCTGACGTGGCTAACAGAAATGCTTATCTATCCAATTTTAACCTGCCACGTTGAGGAACCTATTCCCGGGGAGGTCGAGGAATTGGAGGTTGCGGAAGGAGCGAATCGATTTGGGGACATGGCCGACGAAGAATTTGTTGGAGACGGAGAGCGTTTCCAGATTGGGGAAATGCTTCAAGAAATTCATATCCCCAGACAATTTGTTGGAGGCGAGATTCAGAATGGGCAGCCGGAGGAGGAACGGAACGTCAGGGGGAACTGAACTTTGCCCGCGCGTCGGTTGTTGGCGAGGTTGAGAATCTCGAGCTTGTTCGGATTTTGTCAACGAGGCGGTTGTCGAGGAGGGAGAGCTCCTTGAGCTCCGTCAACCGGCCGATTGTCGGCGGTAGGGTGCCGGAGAGGGACTGAGATTTGAAGACCTGTCTGGTGATTCTGGGCTTGTAGGTGTGGTTGTCGAAGGAGGGAGAGATGCGGCGCTCGCAGAAGAGGCCGTGGAGGTTGCAGGGGGGATTTACAAATCCTAACACCAAGCCCATCCAAAGCTAATTTTCAGATTTCATCCATCTTCACCGATTTCTTCCCCTAATCTCATCACACGCTTCAGCCCTCCATGCAAAACGAATCTCTCTCCCTTCTTCCTCCGTGTTTGGACTCTTGCTCTTGGAAACCTAGTAACCTACCAGGAGGAGGAGGAGGAGAAGAACTTGTTGTTGAGCGTGGAAGCAAGAAGGGTCGCCATCGTCAGAGAATGAATCGCGTCGGATGCAACTCAATTATTATTGTTAGAATGAGATGCGCTGGCGCCGAAAAATGTACTCGCCATCGATGGGTTGCCGAAGCCGTTGGATGATGCAAAGGAAGCCAACTGATCGTACGACGGTCGGGGAGGGTTACTCTGCTGCTTCCTCGTAGAACAGGGGCTTCATCTGGTCGATAATTTGGAACTGGCCGCCGCTAGGGTTTTCTGCCGCGGAGGTTGGGGCAGGTGGCAAGGAGGGTTGGTAGTGAGTTGGAAATTATAAATGATAAAATATTAAATTTTTAATTGCCACGTGGCACATTTAACGGTCAATTGTAAGAGTTGACCGCCACATAAGCAAAACTTAACGGAGATGGACGGAGAGTGACCAAACTTGAACTCTTTCACTGATTTTAGTGATCACGAATGAAATTAAATATTTTGAGTGACCAAACATGAACGTTTTTTGTAATCTCAGTAACCAACAATGCAATTAACCCGTATAATTTAGTATCTTTGGCCGAGTAGAAGTGTAAATTGGGAAAAATCCCGCCATGTGTAACTTGGTCGAGAAGGAAGTGGACTCTTTATGTGCTTTGGTGACGAGCAAGACACGACAACAAAAATCAATGTTTGATTCATGTGGTATGGCATCTAGTGCAGTTGTGTGAACAATTTAATTCATAATTTCTTATGGAATAAGTTGCGAGGGCATTGTATACACCAAAATATTTTTCTCTTAAAAACCCCGTGGGTGATTTTGAACAATCGGGCCCTATACAGAGGATTGTCTGGTTGGACCGTATAATTGGTGGATAGTTGCTGGGAGTGAGCTGACCATACATAATTTGGTCACAATCTATCTAGTCCCATTGATACCATCCAACACCAAAGTGGATGGTACCATCCTATATAATAGATACCATCCAACCTTTTAGTGGATGATATCATCACATATCACGGACACCGCATCCGACTCTTAAGTAGATCGTGACCATCATCTAAATCCTAATTGGATGGTCACCATCCCATATCAGGGATATCATCCAACCTCTTAGTGGATGATACCATCCAAAGTACTAACTGGATGGTACCATCCATGTTGAAGTATGACGACCATCCTATCTTATGGTTACCATCAAATTTAACATGACGACGTGGTGAATGATTACGATAACATGGTGACGTATCCATAGACTTCTCGGCGACATATGACTAGCTTAGATACTACGAAGCTACTTTTCGAGAAGAGGAGAGAGCAGTTGGACGTCTCTCGACAACTAAACATGAAGCAAGCTTATTGAGCAAAGAAGACAATCACAATCCAACACACAGACAACTTGTCTCAATTGTCTCTTTTCCTTTTTCTTTGTGGTTAGCAGAGTTCCGCTCCATGAAGGATCCTCCTTAGTCGTACTCGTACTCGTAATTGTAGTTGTATAGCTCTAAAAAAATCTCTATAAAAGTAGGGTAATGTAACTTAAATTTTCCATACACCAAACACTCACGTTCGAATAGTGTTTGAAAAGGTGTAAATCATAGTAACAATCGTACCTTCATAAAAATCAGTTACAACTCATCCACCTATTTTTCCACCGTTAACAAGAAAGGAGGACAAAGAAAGAAGAACAACGTGCAAGTGCCTTGAAATTGAAAGGTCAATGCTCAATAGAGAGGTGTAGGTTGTCCCAAGTGGTCGGTCTTCCAACCACTAGTTGGATTCACATATTTAATTACTTGATTAGGTCCAAATCAAAGGGCTAAACTAAACCATAACCAGCCAGGGCCGAATTGGGCAAGGTGGCAAGAATTACAGTAGAAAATACACAAATATGAATGGTCACAAATAGTAGTAATGTGTCCCCGCAGAGGGCAAACATCAATCTGAGTGAGTGGTCGGTTTTGGATGGTTTGCTTTTCCGGTTGCTAGATTTGATTATCTGGGTCGACTACTTATTATGCCTGCGGTGGGGAGAAGGGAGTGCAATAGGAACAGTAAATAGAATGGAAGTAGGGCAGCCGGCAAGATTGTTGTGTGGGAAAAGGGAGGTAATCAATCATAAGAGGCCGGCCGGCGTTGGTCTGAAAATGACAATGCATTCACGGAAGAAGAGGATGAAAATGAATTGAGTGGACGGCTCATCGGACTTTCTGTCAAAAAAAAAAAAAAAAAAAAATCAGGACTGCTGTTCATAAAGATTTTGATTAAAGTTGGTTGTTATCATATGAAGGGTTGTAAATCGGTGGCTCAGTCAATCCTCGAGATCTTTTTTGATTAATTTGATAGTTGAAAAGACTCATTTTCATAGCTTGCAATAGTGACATGTAACAGAATGAAACCACATCATCAAAGAGAGGCTCATATCCTTCATTTCGCAACTCTTGCAATATTTTGTTCGAGCAACTAATGTCAATTGAAGTTGGTGAGCCAATTCAAATACCCTTGGCTTGGCAAACTCAACTCATGTGATGCAAACGTTGATTCAATCTCCTTATTGAGTGTAGAAGTTTTAGAAAATTTAGAGTAATAAATTCTTGTAGTCCAATAAAGATGTGTTATTTATAATTATTAGAGCGTCGTCGAAAGTCTCGGATTTGATTTTTTTTTTTTATATCGGTGAAACTTAGCTTTCTCAAAAAAATCTAGGACAGAAGTCTGTCGCTTGACACTCCTCTGTCACAAATAAGTATGCCCTTGATGATACAATACAATTATACACATATAATAGGATATACGAGTGTGTGATTGTGTAATACAAATAACTTACCTGATATATATGTATTAGGAATTTATGATTAAATTTGTTTTAAATGGATGGACGTCATAATAATGCTTTGAAGATTTTAGTGTTAACTAATGACGAGATAAAATTGTTCAACGAAAATTTACGTTAAGCATGTATTTTAAATGTTACATACATGATACATCAAAATAGTTTGGTTTTAAATTTTTTAATCGACTCGTCAATTATTACTGTTCACATATTATCGTTGACTGACATATATATCGGAGTTAACCAAAGTAAAATAAATTGAAAAACTCAGTGATCAAACGTATTCACCTAAAGTTAATCTTTCTGACTTTCATTTACAATGAGGGTTAAAAGGTAAATAAAAGAAAAAAAAATCTCCAGTTCTCCTTTTTCTTCATTGCGCCAGTCAAGCAACCACCTTTGACCTTTTCCACGAAAAATTGGAAGATGGGAACATATACCAGAAGGTTAGGTGATCGGGCTGTACCTTTACTCCGACCTCAACCCTCCTTCCTTTCTGCTCACCACCGACGTCGTTCGTTCCCGCCGACCTAACTCCGTGGCGGAATCTCCTTCGCGCCGCCTACTCTCCTCCGTCCTTCCACTCTCGCTTGATTCCTTCTAAAGATCATGGAAGCGGCGTCGATCCGTACCGGGCTTCCCCAAACGAGAATCTCCGTCGCGTCTCGTAAAATCTCGAGGTTTTTCCCTCCTCCCTCTCTTTGTCCACTCGATGAACCTTTTCCTCTAATTCCATGGCGTCTGTATACTTTGAATTTTGATTCGTCGTACAGAATCAAGCCTCTGCTATAGCCCACCCTTCGAATCATGTGGATTTTTGCCTGTGTTTGATCGCTTTCTTGTGGGTTCATAGGGGTTTTCCCCTTCAATGTGTAAGAATTTCATTACTTATATTGCTTTTGAAGTCCAATTTCTTTCGTTTTCAGATTGAGTGGTAAGGTTGGATCAGTTACATCGGTGTCTTTCCTGGAGAATCAATCTGCCCAGACTTCTCTGGTGTTAAGAGCAAGTCCTGTTGAGAAAGCAGCTCCCATTCACTCTGGAGCTCGAGGTGGGAGGAGAAATGTTGTTGCCCAATCGTTCACTGCTCCTTCTCCAGGTGTCTGCCCGTTCGATCAGACTTCTTCCACGCAGAGTCAATCACAAACTGCTGAAGAGAAAATCGGTGTGCTGCTTCTGAACCTTGGAGGCCCGGAAACGCTTCATGATGTTCAGCCGTTCCTGTTCAATTTGTTTGCCGATCCAGTATGGCTATTTCCCCGCCTTTCTCGTTGCTTGTTTGTGGCCTTGTGCACGATCTTCAGGTTTATGATTAACCCTGCTTACAATTTTTTCACTGTAGGATATCATCCGTTTGCCTAGGCCATTCCAATTTCTTCAGAAGCCATTGGCACAGTTAATTTCTGTTCTCCGAGCTCCTAAAAGCAAAGAAGGGTATGCTGCTATTGGTGGTGGCTCGCCTTTGCGTAAGATAACTGATGAGCAGGTGAAATTCCTGATCTTCTGGTATCCATGATTGATTCTCATTCTCTCTTGATTCTCAACAACTATTTTTCCCGGTAATCTAGGCACTTGCTATCAAGGATGCCTTGCAAGAAAAGGATGTGACTGTAAATGTCTATGTTGGAATGCGGTACTGGTACCCTTTTACAGAGGAGGCAATTCAGCAGGTCGAAGTTCTGCCTTGTTATTTTCACTCAATAGTTTTTGTCTGCTACTTTGCAACTGCGTGATTGAGTTTCTGAGTTCTGTTTGACAGATTAAGAAGGATAGGATCACAAGGCTTGTTGTGCTGCCACTTTATCCACAATTCTCCATATCTACAACTGGTTCGAGCCTCCGTGTTCTTCAGAATATATTCAGGTGTTCCATATTGGCCAAATCCTTGTTCTTCATTATTGCCTTAAAATGTATTAAAGCTTTATGCATTTGATATTTTTTTTGTAGGGAGGATGCATATCTTTCGAGATTGCCTGTCTCCGTTATAGAGTCATGGTACCAACGACAAGGTTATGTAAAATCTATGGCTGACTTGATAGAGAGAGAGTTGCAGAAATTTTCCAAGCCTGATGAGGTGAGTTTCGAGGGTTTCCTCTCATAAATTATTAGTTTTCGATCTACTTCAAGTGGTTCAAGTCTGAAAAATTAAAACTTTCTATCTATTATCTGCTATATGTAGGTAATGATATTCTTCAGTGCCCATGGGGTACCAATGAGTTATGTGGAAGAAGCAGGAGATCCATACAAAGATCAGATGGAGGACTGCATTTTCTTAATTATGCAAGAGTTGAAGGCCAGGGCAGTTTACAATGATCATACCCTTGCTTACCAGGTTTGCTCGGTCATTCTGAACTGGACGAGTTTCTTTGTGTAGTTTTCACCTTCATGGCTGATCCAGTTCTATCAGTGACCTGTTGCTGTTTTCTAACGCCGTAAATGCCTGTAACTTTGTTCTTTTACCCTATCCAGAGCCGCGTTGGACCAGTGCAGTGGCTGAAGCCTTATACCGATGAGGTCCTTGTGGAGCTTGGCAAGAAAGGGGTGAAAAGCCTCTTAGCTGTCCCTGTTAGGTAATTAATTTTTGTTTCCTTTATTTTGTGAACAGAAATTGTTGCAATTTAATATTTAGCTAAAAATTTCAAACTTGGTGTTTGTCCTCTTTATGTCAGCTTTGTGAGCGAGCATATTGAGACTCTTGAAGAGATCGACATGGAATACAGAGAGCTGGCCCTTGAATCTGGCATAGAGAGCTGGGGCCGTGTACCTGCTTTAGGGTGCACCTCGTCTTTCATCACAGATCTGGCTGACGCAGTTGTCGAAGCCTTACCATCAGCCAAAGCCATTGCAACCTCAAGTGGCAGTGCTGAAGAGACCGACGACTACGACCCCTTCAGATATGCCATCAAGCTCCTGTTTGGTTCAGTTTTGGCCTTCGTATTGCTTTTCTCTCCGAAGATGTTCCTCGCATTCAGGAACCAGCTCTTGTAGGAACAAGCAAATCATATAATGTGTAACAACATAGCTGGTTTCAGATCGAGTATGAAGCTTCGGCATAGTAGTGATGCCTTCGGTTATAGCATTTTGCGTAAAATAAATGTTAAGACAGATCTCGAGTATAGTTGAAGAGGAAGGATCGTAGTATTTTACACACTGGGAACATTTACGTGTTAAGGTTTGATTCATGGTACTATACTGCTTAGTTCAAGACTTTCAATATGACGAAGCATTTCATAGTTACTCTAGGAATCATTGAGCTTATGGTGCCAGAAAATGTCGGCTGCTAGTGTTCCTTTTCCCAGCAGCATGTGTTCCCTGAAAACAAAGCTTTCAATTTCAACCATTTCCATTAGTACAATGAATCGTCTCACAAATAAAGCAAAAGGGCATTCTACCAGCAGGACCACCCACAATACTGCACTTAGTGCCAACAGTCCTGGTAAAATAGGGTACCCATCCTTCACTATCATCACAGCAAAATGACAACAGTACATATCAACTTGTGTGAGAAGTAAAAACCATTATCGTGCAACCAGAAACCAGTGGCTGGTAACATTTTTGCTCTGTGCTCAATCAACTTCTTCGCTTGCCGACTTTTCCGCTGACAACCCTCTTACACGATCGTGTCAAGAGGAAAGAGTACGCAACCAACCGACCTGCGAACCAGATGCTCAGGAACCGATTGATGAAACTGAAACATGATGCACTCTCGTGTTCGTGGTCCTTTACATGGTACCAAAACAATGAAGGGGACATCAGCTGGTAAAGCTAACAAGAAAAACCACCATTCGTTCATCATAATGAGACAGAGAGCCCTCAGAATCAGAGCTTCAGAAAAGCTGAATGTACCAGACGTCCAGATTCCCAGACCTCCATCACTTTCACTTCAGTACATCTCTTTTGGCCATCACGGCCAGAAATTTCCAACCTACTCAGTGACCTAACATCGGGGATTGGATGATGATAAGAAACTAGCATTAGCATTGAATGTGAAAGCAAAAGCTCGAACACACCCAGTTCCAAGGAGGCTAGGACAACATGCACTTCACAAAACTCTCCCTCGAGTAAGGGAAACTGCAACTATTCTGTCTTCTTTTCTTCTCTCAGTTTCAGTTGAGAAAAATGTGTTCGATAACATGTCCATCTAATGATTTACAACAAAAAAAAACAATTTCAAGAATGAAATTATCAAACCTGGACTATTGTTTTACTTTTCTAGAAGCTGCAAACTTCTACACAGGTCTCATAACTGAAGAGTTCTGAATTTGCCACTCTGCTAACTTCCGAACATCCTACTTTTTAGTATCTTCTCTGCCTCACTGACACTAATACGCCTGACTCCGTTCTCTTTCATCCAATTCTCGCCTCCGATTACTCCCAATTCATGCTGCTTCTTCACCATCTTCAACAACTTCAAGCCCTCACTTGATTTGGGAAAAAAGCCTTCTGGTCTAAGACACCAAGCCCTAAATGCCCCAAACAAGACCTCTAAGTCGTTGCTAAGACTTTCAACACCACTGTCATAGAACTTTACACTGCTCATAAAAATGCCATTAAAGAGTGCACGATCAATTCCAGAAGCCAAACTTCTCCATACACTGACAAAATCTATACTATTTAGATTTTCCTCTATGACTGCCATCTTTGCCTGTAAATAATCTAGAGCACCAACTAAATGTTTGGACACCGTCCAGCCATCTTCCCTCTTCTCCTGCCACTGCTTCTTGTTTTTCAGGTATTCTCGACTGTCGGCCTCAAATCCCCTCAAAACAACTGTTGATATCTTCTCAACCCACTCTTTCCTGAATCTCTCCAACTCTTTTATCTCCACTTCGAAAATCCCACCCGTGGACATGAACATATCGAATGGACCCTTCGCCCCAGTGTCATCATTAAAAAATGGATCATCTTGATCAAATTCCATTTCGAGAAACAAAACATCCTCACACCATTCTTTAAGAACCGACTCAAAATAGTGAGCAGCATTGGCCGAGTTTGCAACCTTAATTAACCCCTCATCATCAGTTAATGCAGTCAATCCTTCAGCTTCCTGACACCTACGTAACAGGCTGTCCAAAAATCTGTGTATTATAGGTGCACCAACTAATCGAGCGAACCTGCACCTCAAAGATGTAGTAGGCAGTGATCGACATCGATCAATCACTAAAGACAGGTGCTGAAGGAAGGCACTAGAAACTATAGGCGACTTGTAATTCTCGGGACCGGATAAAAGAGCTGCGCCCTGAACTTTCACTTTCCATTTCCGCTCATCATCAGACTCAGCTTTTAATTTCGCAAGTGTGTCACTGAGCTCTATTTCTGCCCACAAATCAAGCCAATCAGGTCGATCACAGAAAACAGATAGAGATGAAAATTTCTGGAGGTTCCTGTCTTCCTGAATGGAAATCAAGACACCAGAATGTGTTGCCAGAGACAGAACCCGTTGATCAAAAGAGATCATCAGGTCGACCAGATGCAGCAACGATATTCTAGCCTGAGACTGAACGCCGCTAACATGTTCTTCTTCCATTTGGCCAATATACACAGGAAATACCTCTTTTGCCAAGTATGTAGACAAAGAAGTTACCATGGCCGAAATCCATTCTTCTCTACAACTATATCCCACTAGCCTAGCTTTATCAACAAGGGGCTGTAGCAATTCATCCATAGTGTCAACATAGTCCCTGGTAATCTTGTAGACAAGAGCAAAAATGAACTCCGGCTTATCTGACCATTTTGAGAAATGTCGTTGGCATGCAATTGATATAGGGTTCACGAGTTCTTCAATTGCCCAAAGTGGTTGGTGTAAAGCGATTTCCCTGTTGTGGCCCTCAAGCTGCCGAGCCTTTCTTCGCATCTGCAACTCTTGCAAGCGACACAACGCACGGAAGGTTTCACAATATTTATGCTTGAGGTCCCCATGCATTGTGAATAGAGGATTAGAGGTTTCAGAAGATTCCCCAGTATCACGAATAGGCGAGCTTAAGGAGCTAAGTGGAGATGGCCACCCAAGGGAAGTAAGGAGGATTCGGTGATCAGCAATTTGCTGGGGTCTTAATGTGGCCAGTGCCCGATCTACTCTGTCATCAACTACTGATACAAGTCGCGTCCATTGAGACTGTTTCTTTGTAATAGAAGTTAACACATCTTCCGTTTTCTCAAGTGCTTCAATAGCATGAAAACACATATCCTGGAAAATGATAAAATATTAAAATCATCCACCCAAGCGATGTGCTTTGACAAGTTATGCCCCTATAAATATAAAGTCTCCTCACCTCTGAACTTTCTGGAGTCGGACGCTTATGTAGGTTTCTGTTCATTACAAAAGCTACAGCATCTTCAATATCACCCACCAAAGTGACAAGCTTCAATGCAGTATCTGAAAAGTCCGACAAGCGTTGAAGGGAATCACAAAAATAATTAAAGAATGAAAGCCAGAAGAGGAAAGCTTCTGTGTGCATATGCACATATGAATATCCACACATATCTGTGTGTATATTGCATATATATTTCAACAAGACAATTACAATAATACCAACTAGTGTGGATGATCTCAATGACATGAGGAAAGAAAGAGGGTAGGAAAACAAGAAATATATTGATCATTTCATTTGCAAGTTCAAAAGGAGAGCTTTATACAATGAAGATTAATCACTGACACAAACTAGTAAGCAGGCAGATCATACAATGCTAACTGAAATTTAAATTTGAAGGCCAGGCTCTCAAATCATGAGCCTACGTGCTACTCCTCTGATATAATATTGATATAGTTTCCATCATGCCTAGCTTTATGTAAGCACTTTTCCATATGAACCATGTGAATGAACCACTAAACAAGCTGAAGCACCAAGCTCTCGCTATTTCCAAGACCTTAGTCAATGTCGAAAAGCTACCGGTAAGAATGACCACAAAGCAAATCCTAAGTAAGAGCTTCAAAGTTAAAGGCCAGATGGGAGCTGCATTAACATCAGCTATCAAAACAGGATAATTCACTGTATTAGTAAAAGTAATGATCTTTACCATGTTCTCAGCCTGAACGAACAAACTAGAAGGTGACATGAAGAACATAATGCACACATGATAAATCCACATACATGTATCAACAGCACGCCTAATTCAAGAACTACTGTACTTGCCTGGGGCAAGATAAGAAAACTAAATCAATTAACTAATTGTAGCATGCCACGAGCTCTTCACAAGAAGACATAAACGACGAGTCCTACATCATTCTTAAACTCGAATACATCCATTTATATCAGATGAGTGAATCTCATCATGCATTCTGATGTTTTGGCATTAGTACACTCTCAAAGACAAAGCACATCCACAGAAATCACTAACTGAGAACGTTAACAAACTACTCCAATCGAAATAATACTTACAACATTCGGTTCCAAACATAAGCAATTCATCCAGGAACATATTTGGCTCTTAAAGAATCTGCATATATATTGTGTACCGTCTAAACATTGGTGAAGGTGTTAAGCATCAACAGAGACAAGAGATCATGACTCGGTATATAGACACTCATCACCTCTCAAACACTCTAATCGCTACCAATTCGGAACAATCGAACAGGTAAAGCTACACCAATTGGTGGGTTAATCATTCCAAAATAACATAAAGCAGCAACAATTTCAGCAACTTACCAGCATAATCTCGAACTATCTTCACCCTGGCAACCTCCTTTGCCAGCTCCGGCAGCTCCTCTGCCAATGCCTGCTCTTTCCCTCCTCCATCTACAGAAGAACCGGCCGTCAACGAATCGAGATCGGAGAGCTCGGAGGTGGTACCAGTGATCAGGCCGTGAATCCGATCGGAGAAGGAGGCGTAACCGAGAAGACTGGATTCGAGCCTAGAATTGAGGTCAGCCAGAGAATTCTCCAAATCGAGACATTGGGATTGCAGCTCCGAGACTATACTCGGTGCATGCTCGAGATCTTGCAGGTCGTTGAGCCGGTCGTTGAGAAACGCTACGGCCGGCGAGGACAGAGTCGTGGACGAAGGGAGGGTTAGGGTTGCGTCCATCGTCGAATCACGCGATAAAACACCAATTGGGGAGCAAATTTTGGCAGGGGATTGAAGGAAGCTGTGGGAAAGCTCCGACGGGGAGGAGCCCAAGGAGGACGACGGAACGATGGTCCTCTCTTTGGCTTCAACGGGGAGGAAGGAAGACGATACTGAGTTTGACTCGGACTGAAAACAGATGATGATGAGTCAATTTTTACGGGTTTGTCACGATGGGTAACGTAACGGGAGCCGGGTCGACCCAGCACTAAAGAGATCCAACCACTCCACAATTGGACTATTGTTGAGTGAGGCCCAAGCAAAACAGACCCATCAAAGGGAAGAATGGAGCGGAAGATTTATATTGGTATGACGTGGTGGTTGATCACCTATATTTTGATCACATGTCAGAGATTTGATTCTTAAACATAGGAATAGATTTATTTAGGATGATAATGATGAGGTGGATTTGGGACGAATTTTTCTTCAATCATATAAAAAAAGCTAATATTATTAGGAAATTCGAACTATTATTAATGTGTCATTTGTGTCCTAAAGTATCCAATATGACATTTGTGTTATAAATTACTTTTCCGTTAGAGTTGACCGGCGTTGACCGTTAATATTTAACAGAAAATCCAGTCAGCGGTGACATGACACCTTACATGGAATTTTAAAATTTTATTTTTATCTAAATGATTAAAAAAAATAGCAAAATCCCCAAATCATGCTCCGTCTCCATCTCCGATTGGTTAGGGCTGGGAAAACGGTTGCGGTTTCGCGGTTAAACCGATAACCACACGAAAACCGCACGGTTATTGGTTAACCGCAAACCGCATATTTTGCCTATTTTGCGGTCGCGGTTGGAGATATGGGTTGTTTTGCGGTTTGCGGTTTAACCGCAACCACAAATCCATATAACCGCAAGGCTAACCGCGACCCAGACCCAGCCCATAATTGACCCCCAGCCCAGCAGGCAGCAGCCCAAACCCGACCCCGCCCCTCCCCCACTTCTCCCTGCCGTCGTTTTGATTTGACGAAACAAAAATCGAAAATCCCCTTCGACCCTTCGTTTCGTCCCTTCCCACCAGCAACTGAAAACCCTTCGAGTCGAGCTTCGACCCTTCCTATCTTCCCGCTGCGGCGCTGCGCCGCTGCCATCTGCCCGCCGCCGTCCCTGGCCGTCCGGCGTGTGCATTTGTGTATTGTGTTATTTGGATATGCAGACAGATGCAGGGGCTTGATGGAAGTGAAAATAGACAAAACAGTAGCTGCTGTGTTTTTGTTTTTCCATAAATTTTTTTGCGGTTAGTTCGCGGTTAATTGTCGGTTAGATTGCTTAACCGCGGTTTCGTATACTGTTTCGGTTGTTGCGGTTTTTACAATCATAAACCGCGGTTCACCGCTAACCGCGTTCTGCGATTTTCGGTTAACCGCTAATCGTGAGGGACGCTGTCTCGGTTGGCTAATATGGGTGTTTTGCGGTTGCAGTTAACCGCAAATTGCAGTGCAGGTAATCGCATCCGCACCGTTTCCCACCCCTACGATTGGTACTCTCTGATTCCTCTTCATCTTCTTCTCTTCCATTCTTCATATCTCCACCACCGCCATATGCGAACGGTTGATGGTTCCAATCGTCGATGCCTTGCTCAAAAGCCGCGAGACCAGCTCGGAAAATGAAGGATTTGCTCCCTCATGATTTGAATGGGAGCACGGTCTGGCGGGGTACGGGACGGCGAAGGAGATAGAAGATTGTTGATGGTGGTTCCTCGACGAGCGCCTTTGGGCTTTGGCTTTGGGCGAAGGAGATGGTAGTGGCGGTGGAATTACCCAGATGAAGGAGATCAAGATTTGTTCGAGCTCGGTGGCGATGTGGATCATGTGGGATGGAATTGGGATCTTTTGGGATCCGAAGAAGATGAGAGCAAGAGTTATCCCATCCCTTGATGGAGTTATTTGATGGGTTCTCGCACTCGTTTGAAATCAATGCGGAGCGAGAGTTTGGGGGTTGCGATTGCCATGGGAATGCAGATGGTGGGGTAGTACGGCAAGAGAGATCTAGAACGGGTGCGAGGAGATGAGCCTTTTTCCTTTTCTTTCCGTCGACAGCAAAACCCTTCTTCAACATCCGCCCCCGCCGCAGCCGCAGTAGCTTCCACCACCAATTTCTTCGCCGACAAAGGTGATTGCCTCCACTCCCAACCTCTTCGCCACCACCGACACAGACTGCATGCCGGAAGAAGAAGCGGAAGGGGGCGTAACGCGCAATATCGAGCTGACGATGATTGGATTCGGGGCAGGCGATGGAGTAGCGGCGAGGGCGTTATGGATTGAAATTTGGGGAGAGATGCCGCCCTAGTTGATTCTGGACATCCCGAGGACGGTGGGCGGAAACCGCCTGATGAAGATGGTGTTATTGATGTCGAGCTCATTGAGGTAAGGCAAAACGCCGGTGAAGAGAGGAGATTGTGACGGCGAATCCTAGTACATAGACGTCTTCTTTTGTTCTGTATTAAGAAGTTGGCTTCCCTCCGCCTCCTCGTCGGCAACCGGTACAGACGACATCGATTGGAGCTGGGAGCTTTGCGGAGGAGACGAGGGTTAAAGATGCAGGGGTATTTCAATTTTCATTTTAATTTTCTAATTTAAGTTTTTCTTTGTATTTAAATTGTTAATTTTCATTTAAAAACAAAAACTTGATGTGGCAGCTGACTTGGCGCATACATGGCTGCCACATATGTGTCATGTAACCAGCAATCAACATTTTATGGTTGACCGTTTGGTCAACCGTTATCTATAACAGTCAACGAAATTATCAAGACGTAAATGACACACAAGTATCATACGTCAGGACACAAATGTCATATCCGATAGTTTAGTACACAAATGACACATTCTTAATAGTTCGAGTTTCCTAGTGGTATTAGCCCTAAAAAGAAATCCAAATTCATATCCATGTTGAGGGAGGTTTTGTAACCCTCTTCTCATATTCACGATTTTTGAATACTAGGAAGTCATGCCTACCTACTAAGAGACTAAAAGGGTATTTTAGTAGTTTTAGATAAGTTATTTACCACTTAATGTGATCAATCATGGTGAATAGTTGGTTAGTCATTGCCATCATTAATGATGAAAAAAGTACTATTATAAACAAAACTTGAAGATCTATTACAATTTTTCGTAATAATACCTATTTTTACAATGTTGTCAGAACCGAACCGGAGCATAACCCGATAATGTGAACGGCTCGCACTTTACTGGTCCAACCGACATTAGACCGTTTAAAAACCGTTAGAGAACCGATACCTAATAAACGTTATCAATATAAATACTGGACATTTCTTAATCAGAGCTCGTCTCTTTCCTTCGAAATTGTGAAATGGAAATAAGGATTCAGTTTGAGAGCCCGACGTTTTTGGTTTATTTCCATTTTCAAATTTCTGCAATTTTTTTAATTAAATTTAACGGCTGAATGGCAAAAACCGGATGAGCGGCTCGATCGGCTCGAGCGGTTAACCGCATCGGCCGCTCGTCAACCACTACATAAAACCGGAGGGCTTTTAGACTGTTCCGAGCCAATTTTGTGACCGGGTGGCGTTTTTACCGGTCAGGCCGAGCGGCTCGGCTTTAATAACACTGTATTTTTACCTGAAATTTTAGTAAGACGTGATACTGAAATTTAAATAGAATAATTATTTTCAATTTAATTAAATGAACAAAACAATATGGGCCAGTCTTGATGAGTCGGTGTTTCACACGAAACCAAATATCCACTGTCGTTGCCGAATTTATTCGGGCGATGTTGATTTGATTGTTTCGCGGTGGAAACTCCTGTGGTGTTGTATGAGCGGATGCACCACTGATTGCTGAAATCAAGATGACCGTCAAATATCCATCAGACGGTGTTGATTTGATCGGTGCAACTCTGACTTCTGAAAACGAATACAATCGTCAAATATTTATTGGGCGGTGTTGATTTGATTGATGCACCTCTGACTTCTAACCAAGAACGACCGTTATTCGGTTCACACCTCTCCAAATAATGGTCGAACGACGGTGTTTGAGTTTTTGGGAATCTACATTAAATCTACTCCTATGGAGATTCCTGTGGAGAGCTCCGCGATTACGACTACAACTTTGACTATGGAGATCCTTCCAGGAAGGAGAGCTCCGCGAAGGAGTTATAGAGAAAAAGGAAGTTTTGACAGAGTTGTTCTATGTTGATTTGGTTGTCCCCTCTCTTTCCATGCACAGTTGGTTTTATCAAACAACATCTTCGTAGTCTTCACGTAAATGCTCCATGGAACTTCCTCATAACTGTTGCCTCGTAACCGCCTTGCTCTTATCTTCAACCTGCTTCTCGTGAGACTCACGTGCATCCCAGATCTGCACCGCGGTTCGAACCACAACAGTGCTGCTTCATCATCATTTATTTAAAAAACTAAGAAGACCATACAGTCGATTAAACGACATCGTTGTTTTATCCCACACCACCGTTGGACTTTCTATGTCACTCAACTTGCAATGTCGTCAACCTCGTGGCATCGTCGAACTCACGATGCCTCTCAAATTGCAACATTGTTGCCATGGAATCGAGTCACGACATTAGCCTTACATATTCTCACTATTGCTTGAGACCACATCGCTGCAAGACTCATGGAGATGTTGATAAGCTTGCACCAACTTCACAACATCGTGGAGATCAGCGCGTTGTTGGCTTTGCACAACGTCAGTAAACTTGCAAGATTCACAATGCCGGCATGATTGACCTGGCGACTTTGTTGCACTTGCAAGGTCGTTGGAATTGCGACGTCGTTGAGCTCGAGGCACCATCGACCACCGGGATGTTGTTTAGCTCGCGACATCGTCAACCTCCTGATGCTGTTGTTGAACTCGCAACGGCGTTAAACTTGTGGCATCGCTACTTATCGCGATACCGTTTATCTCGCGACGTCGTTGACCTCACGATGCCACTGAGATTGTTTATCTCGTCATTTAGCTGCACGACGTTGCAAACTCGCAACGCCGAACTTGATATCGCTCTTCGTCGCGATGTTGTTTAGCTCGCAACACTGTTTTAACTAAAATATGCGGCCTCTTGGTATCATGGCAGAATTTGAATTCGTGATGTTGTTTTAAACTTGGACTTAACCGACCGCCCATGGCCAAACTCATACCCA